CTACATTTAAAACCACATAATATAATAACCATAACCGAATTCATGAAGAATTCACGGAGTGTCAATAACAGTTGAAAAACACATGTTAATTAACCAATAGAAACCATATTCTGGGTGACAAGGATAATAGGTGGATTATACCATATTATAGGTCTCAATTCAGTAATGAGCTTGATAAAAAGTGCAGTTTAAGATTTGTGGTAGTCTGTTGTGGGCCAAATTACGTAAAAACCTAATAAGTATTAATTGGCACTTGCAGACAACCTAATTAGATCACGACAGGTTGACAGCAAGAGAGAGGAGGTCTTTTTCATTACCAAAATTATGGAGTTTTCCACTCCCGAACGCAATTAAACTTTTAGGAAAGAAGAAATACAAAAACATGGACTCGCATTAATGCCGGACGCCCTCACCAAACTCCGCTCTTGTGCTTGGATGGAAACTGCTTTAATTTTTAATTTTTTATTAATAGTTCGGACTGTTTAATAGTATGAAAAATAAACATTCATCATTGAATTGAGAAAATATTTTTTTTGTTGACTTTTCAAAGCTTGACTACCCAATAGTGTGTATTATTAAGGACTCACCCTAATTTCTTTTCTTTATCTTCTCTTGTTGGTCTTCCATAAAAAAATTGCCTATTGGTTTTCCCCAGCGACTTAATTTCGGGTTAATTTTGGGCTAGGCTACCTGTGCTTGCGGAGTTTGCCTTATTTTTGTTTATTTGGCAATGACATTTTCTTTGACATAAAAAAGACATATCATATCTTTTAATTAGATTCTTCTACTACTTAGACCATCTCCAATGATTGGGCTAAAAGCCAAATATTTTAGCCCGGAAAATTTAGCTTTTTGCCCAGAAATAGTTTTTCTGCTCCAACCGTTCTAGTCTAAAATTTTAGCCCGGAATTATTAAAGAATGAACTTAGGCTATTTTTTTTGTTAAATTAAATTTAAAAAAAAATATATATATATATATATATGTAGACTATAGTAAATTAATTTTATGAACATTTTAATCTAAAAAATTTAAATTCCGATAAATATTGGGTGGAGTCCACTCCGATTTCTCGGCTAAATTTTGGGAGGAATTTGGCCTTAGTTTAGGATTTAGCATTTAGCCCAAATTTTCCTCTTGGGTTGGAGTGGGTTTGGAGGGAAATTTTGGGGGGTAATTTGGCTTTTAGCCCTGACATAAACAATTTTGTAACACTATTTTTGGGTGAAAAAATTTAAAATTACTAAGGAATTTAAAAATGACGGAAATTGAAATGACAAGATTTTATTTTTTAGAATTTATAAATTTTCTTATTTGGCTAACCTAAAATAACAATTGAATTGAATACGAAATTTGTTATTTTTAAACTCTCAATCATAGAACTTGAGAAATGACACCTATGTTGGAAATGTGCCCTAAAACCAATCATATGATGATACTTTATGGATATTTCACATGTTAAACTAATCTAGTTTAATATTAAGGGCAAACATTATTGTTTGAGCCGTCTCATATAAATGTTATATGCTTAAACGATAAGTCCAAGGAATATGTGATTGGAAGAATGCGATCTAAAGAAGTTAGATTCATGAGACCATTCTTTCGTTGACACATCCTAAACGTTCCTGATCATAGGATTGTCAATTGGGCATTAACAGTCCGTTAAGATCAGTACGTGCTATGTCTTCTCTCAGGGAGAGTGACTAGTCTCGAGTCATTGGTGTGTGTGACATCAAGACAAGTACGTAGGTGCTCAATAGAGAATGAGTTCACTGAACACGATCAACGAAGAGTTTTCATATTCATGTCACATGAGAACTCATGGTTGGGATAATGCAAATTAGTCTTTTGACCTGAGGCATCACAGTTGTCTTGTGGTTAGGTCCTTAATCTTTGATTATGTCAAAGTCACTCCATCATGAGGGTGTCCATGGCATCGTTGGGGTTAAGCCACTTAGCCATGGAGGCAAGTGAATGCGCAACAAGGGATCTCTAACCTTCAAACTGTTTGAGGGTGAATACTCTATGATATGATTTAGAATCTCTGGCCAGAGTATGAATGAGATGTTGGAATGCGTTTCAGATCACATTCAAGGTAATCATATAAGTACAAGATTCACATTGGATAGTAGACATGAATAAACTATCAAACCAAACAATGTGGTCAAGAGTATTGTATTAGAGAAAGACCGTATTGCATTTGTAATCCTAAACTGAATAGGTTCTCCACCTCTTCTGATTAGCTTGGGTAACCATGACATGCTGCTAGGCGTCAACCATGGTTTGTGGAAGCCCTAAAAGTGTATTATCACTAACGGGAGAATTGAAAGTAAGTTTCAATTCACAATCGATTAGAAAGAGTTTTAATCGCCCACTGCCTCGCTAAAAGGAACCTAATGGATCGTTCACCGAGTAAGGTAGAGTTTGAAGAAACAACGGAGATGAGTAAGAATAATTAAATGGTTTAATTATTTATCTAAGGCTAGGATTAATTAATATGTTAATTAATCAAACGAATAAGTTCGTTAAAGACCTCGGGTTAGTTTTGGGCCGCAAGGCCCAATGGGATTTGAATGTCAAGCCCATTAACTCAAGTTGTATGACAACTTGAATAAAACAAAGGGCTTGAAAGCCCAATAAACCTATAGGCTAGTGTGTAAAAGAATAGGGCTTTTGGTCCATTAGGTCACTTATTTGAAGGGACTATATAAAGGACTTTATAGCCTAAAATTTACTAAGGGTTATTTTTGGGGAAAGGATGAGAACACAAGCTCTCCTTTCTCTCAAAAATTTTGGCCACCTTGGAGGGATCATCTAGCAATCAAACTCCTCCAAGGTCACTCATTTCTTCTTCATTATGCCTTGGTGATGAATAATTAGAGGTTCTCAATTTTGGGAACTTGGAGAAACCTTTTCATCCATCCAAATCCATGGATCTAAGATGCAAGGAATGAAGGCCCTCTCTTTGGGTGATTAGCCTTTGCTTATGCAAAGAGGAATCTACAAAGGTATTGATTTCTCAACTCACTTTGTTTTGAGTTGAGTCTTGGTTCACCTATCTACTAGGCTTTGAATTTCATGGGTAAATGTTTTGTTTTTAAGTGCATACAAGCATGATTCCGCCTTTAATTGTTAATTGCATGCTATTGATGTTGCTTAAATGAACATGTTTTTCACAAATCTTCCTTCAACCTATTTACATGAAATTTGAACTTGAGATTTGGAGGTCCCAAATTCTAAGTTTTTTTTTTCCATGCGGAAATTCTAAATTTCTATGTTTACGAATCCAAATAAAAGAATTGGTGCTTGTCAATTTATAAATTCTAACTTTTATCAAAATTTCATGTTTATTTCTAAATTTCTATGTTTACGAATCCAAATAAAAGAATTGGTGCTTGTCAATTTATAAATTCTAACTTTTATCAAAATTTCATGTTTATTTCTAAATTTCTATGTTTACGAATTCAAACAAGAGAATTGGTGCTTGTCAATTTATAAATTCTAATTTTTACCAAAATTGTTTATTTATTTCTCTCGTCCAAACATAATGTAAGTTTTTCTCCTCAGTAGAAGAGGAAGTGCATGTTCGAGGGATTGAAAGATTGAAGGCCCGAGACACCTTATTGGTTGGGGAAGGATTAAAGTTAATCTTGATATCGGTTGCACTTTCTTCTCTTCCACTCCTCTGCCTCCTCCATCAACATCCTCCACTCCGTCAACCTAAGTTTTGTTGTCCGTTGCTCCTCCCCTCCACGGTTCCACCACACTCACTCCGGATTGTGCTCACCCATGCTCACCATCCCGCTAGATCTAACGTTGCACTACTACCTTGCTGCAAATCGCATGCTAAATCACTATTTTGTATGCCAAAGCTTCCCCTTGCTGCACATCTCTCCACCACGTGCTCCTCTTCCTCGGCCTCTCTCAGCCACACCTTGGTGGGCTTCAAACTCATGGCTCGAGGGATTTGGGATCCCAAGATCATATTTTATCCACTTGATCGACTGATTATGTGTGTAACTATGTCCCCATTTTAGCATGACCGCTCTTTTCGTTGTCATCAGACTTGTTACTATGATGGCAGCGTTTTTTGCAGTGGCTGTGCAGATTGAGTCGGTGTAGGGTTTGATGTATTTTGGGCTTCAGATTTGGTGTTTGGCTGATGTATCCTCTTTTTTTTTTTTTTTTTTTTTTTGGTGGTGTGGCTATTTGTATCTGGACCCTTTTAAGTAGTTAAATAAAATGCATTTTTATTACCAAAAAAATAAAAAAGCTTCTAAAAAAAAATACTCATAAATAAATTTTTTCTTTTTTTAATCTTCAGTATAAAAATATGACCCCTTCGCTAAAGGGACACTCAACATACATATAATAAAGGGGCATTAAAAAAAAGTAGTCATGCACATCCTATAACTGTACTTTTAGACACTCTTTCAATGTTATGTCATTCACGTATTTCATGTCAATATTTCAAATTTAACAACCAATATTTAAAATATTCAGCCAATTCTCTTTTTCTTTTTCTTTTTTCTTTTTTTGTATTACACTTATTTTGAAACAATTTTTAAAAGGGTCATTAGAAAAATAGATCATTATCTTTATCTTTAAATTAGAAAACAATAATAATAGAGAATAACTTACATGAATAATTTGGAAAAAAAACTTACATAAAATGATTTAACTGCTTCCCTTGCATCTCGTTCAATGATTCATTTATATGTAAAGAAAAACTTAGATGCAGTAATTCGCAATTAAACATAACATGTAAAGAAAATTTTACACATATAATCCATTACGAAATTAAAATACTAGGAACCTGTGAATTCGTTCAATGTAAAACTTTGTTTTCACAAAAAGCAAGCACAGAATAAATTAGGAATAAAATAATAAGAATGGATAAAGAAGCATGAGGTGGCACTGGCCCCAATCCACCTTGTCAATCCCATGTTTAGTCTCAGCCCACAGTTCTTGTTTATGTTTTGGTTTGACCCTTTCGCTTTCGTATTTTGGATCTCCTCCACTCTCTCACCAGCCCTTTTCCCCTCATCTCCTTCTGTCTCATGGATTTCTTCTTCTCAGTCTTCCATTGATTTCTTCACCGCCCATGCCTCTCGATTCTCAATCGCCACACTTCCTGGGTGTTTATTTCAAATTTTTAAGTTTTCTCTAATCTGTTCATCCCCAAATCATGACTTTCAGATGATTAAATTCATAATTTCTTATTTTTCCCAACACTCTGGATTCTGGGTTCTGGGTTCTTCTCTGTTTTTGAAAATTTGCATATAATCCGATCTCGGTTTTGTTTCAATTGATCAAAAAAAGAAAAAAAACCATTTTTTGTAAAAATTTTGGTGTTTAAATTTCTGGGTTTCTCCGAAAAATGGTGACTGTGAATCTGGGAATGCTCCATTATGTTCTGGACCATGTGTATGGTGCATTCATGCACAGAACGAAGATAAGCCCTCAATTTTTTTCGAGAGGGTGGGGCGGCTCAAAGCTTGAGTTGCTCGAGAGGATGATAAAGCAGCTTTTCCCGGAAGCAGCTGGCCAGAATTGGCCTCCCGCTGTGATCCAACCCACTTGGAAAACTGTTTGGGAGAGCAAGACGGCTTCTCTCAGAGAAGGGATTTTCAGGACGCCTTGTGATGAGCAGCTTCTCGGTGCATTGCCTCCTGAGAGTCACCGTGCAAGAGTTGCATTTCTTGTTCCGAAGTCGGTTCCTCCTCAGAGAATGGCCTGTGTTGTTCATCTTGCAGGTACCGTCGCAGTTATATCTTTTTATACACTGATAAATTAGGATTGACATTTTGGGATTAATGTATTACTAGTGGGTCATTTTATTGTTTCTGTTTTGGTTATTACACAAGAATGTAGTATATCAAATCGTTGGTAAATTTTTGGTAGGTTGGATTTACCCTACGGGTTTGGTTTATCGCTACAAATATGAACTTTGAGCCTAGCTTACTGATGAAATGCTGTTTTCAGCCTCAAGGCAAGTAGCGGTGAACTTGGCACTGTCCATTGTGTTGAGCATTGAAATTTTAGAATTAGAAATCGAATGCTAGAAATATGATTTGTTTATTTATTTTAAAGGTGTACAATTCAAATGGGACTGTCTTCGACTTGTATACTTCTCTCAAAGAGTCTAATATTGAGTTTAAAGTGTTAACTAGTTTTGGGAACTATATTTGGAACTCTTCTTTTTTCCTTGAAAGATTGATGAATATGGCCGTCGAATGTACTTGGTTTGTTTCTCTCAAGTATGTCGTTGCTTTTGAAACTATATTGTTGATTGGGAAATGTGAGCTATTTCAAACTGCTCAGTGTCAAATATGGGATGATCACATAGACCAACTTCTGATAGAATTCCTTTGTAGTAGCACTTAATGGAATTTCTTATTTACCCCTTGGCATTACAATTAGCGATTTCTATTTTGCAGGAACTGGGGACCATACATTTGAACGAAGGTTACGTCTTGGTGGACCGTTGCTGAAGGAAAACATTGCTACTATGGTGCTTGAGAGGTATGAATTTATTCTGCATAGTGAGACACCTTCTGTAACTGATATCAGAGTTTTACTTGATTATTATTTGTAGTTTCCAGCGTTTGATTAATGTTGATATGTATTGCAGCCCTTTCTATGGACAAAGACGTCCTGTAATGCAGCGTGGGGCAAGACTCTTGTGTGTTAGTGACTTGCTTTTATTAGGAAAGGCAACCATTGAAGAAGCTCGCAGTCTCTTGCATTGGTTAGACTGTGAGGCGGGATTTGGCAAGATGGGTGTTTGTGGACTTAGTATGGGTAAAGACTCAACTCCATCTCTTGCTATAGCTTTGAGTAGAGGTTGGAAGAAGTGGTTCCCATATTGCTTCGGTTTAAATATATGTTTCTTTAAAATTTAGACTGGTTTAATTAGTTTCTATCTGCTTGAAAACTGAAGCTATTTTTAGTTCTGACTTTGGAATAAGTCAATGAATTTTTCCCGAGAACTAGAACACTCGCAAACTTCATTTAATTATTTTTCTTTTGGCCCAAAATATAATGCTTGTGTGGAACCTAGGAGGAGTACATGCTGCGATGGTTGGATCACTGCACCCTACACCTGTTGCAACCCTTCCTTTTCTTTCTCCACACTCAGCTGTTGTGGCATTCTGTGAGGGAATATTACAGCATGCAACTGCATGGGAGGCACTGAGAGATGATCTTGCAGTGCAGAAGGCTGCAATGACTCTCGAGGAGGTGAGAGAACGGATGCGCAATGTCCTGTCTCTCACAGATGTCACACGCTTTCCGATTCCAAAAAATCCCAATGCTGTGATATTTGTTTCTGCCACTGTAAGTACTTATGAGGTTACCTTTCTACCCATTTGTTATTAACCCATGTTTAAGATTCTGTTAGTGTTTTCCCATTTCTTAATAGGAACCGTTTCCCATTTCTTGATAAAACTTGACCACTGTATACAACTCCTAGTAAGTCATTATGGAATTTAAAAGTTCTGCATCAGTAACATAATCAGTTTCCAGGGTTCAAAGTGTTTTCCGTCTAAATTGTGATGTAGATAAACTGACCTCCATCATTTAACGATGATGAATACATATCAATATGGTTTGCAATAAAGCGACGTATCTTTTTTTGTCTTTTGGTTTTTGTGCCTTGCTTAGCTTTACCAGTCTTTCCTTTAACTGCACTCATGTTTCAGGATGATGGGTACATCCCGAAACACTCTGTGCTAGAGCTTCAAAAAGCTTGGCCGGGTTCAGAAGTAAGATGGGTCACTGGCGGGCATGTCTCATCTTTCCTTCTCCACAATGGTGAGTTCCGGAGGGCCATTGTTGACGGACTTGACAGATTGCCATGGAAGGAGTCTCCATTGTGACATTAGCATCACTTCCGAGGACGACCCTGCACTTATTCTGATGTGGTAATCTTCACCTCTAATTTACACGAAACTTGTAAAAAGACTGGACATAATTGACATGTGAAACACCCCCATAAAGAATTGGAAAACGGGTTCTTCGTTCATGAAATATCCATTTCCTGATGTATTTTCAAATCATCTATTTCCTGTTGTATCTGATTTCCGACGTGTTGGACAATGTGCTGGTTCAGGAACATTGTATAGATAAGATTTACCAGCGGAGTTTATTATGTTTCTGCTTTCAACAAGTAAATTATCCGCCAAAGTTTGTTCGCTCAAATTTTTTCTTTTGAGGGATTATTCGCGATAAATGTTTGTGTTCTGTGTGCAGTGGCAAAATGCATAAACGAATCAGTAGGTAAATTAATTTATATGTAGGAAATTACATGATTCAACCAATATTAATTGATTGTAATTTGACACCAAAAAAAAAAAGTGATTGTAAAAGGAATTTACTAAAATATGCCTGATATTTTTTGGTAAAATGCCAAAAATGACCTTTTTGTTAAATCTTTAGACTAAAATAAGACAAACCGGTCATGTACACCGTGCACAAAAGTGAAATGACGAAAATACTTACATATAAATTGTAAAAACTCATAGGTGATGATGTCATTTTCCTGATTATGAAGAGTTATGAGGTCTGGGTGTTTGGGTTGAGCTAAGATTTGTGAGCATATTATGTCCATGTCGTGTATATAGTGTGTATTTTTAACTCGTTCACGCAAAACAAGATTTCTCCTTCTCCGTCACTACCAATTAAACCCATACGGAACTTTATAGTGCATATTCAATTTTAGAAAAATTCTATTTCTGTTATATTGTTGTGCATGTTCTGTGCATATTCTGTACATATCCTAGAAATTATATTTTAATAAAAAAAATTCAAAAAAAGGTCATTTTTAGCAAATTTCCTTTTTTTCTTTTAATATGGGTAAATTAATTTAAGTACATTACTAATATTTATGATACAAGAAACGTAAAATTTCCATATGGGCTTTAATTGCTTATCATAATTAGGGTGAGTAATAACATTTATTGATATAATTAGGATTTTGTGGCATAAGTTATAAATATGTTGTAATAATTGGTTATATATATTGTTTACATGGCAATCTATTTGAAATTTAGGTTTTTTTTATTTTTTATTTTTTATTTTTATATATAGATATATATGTGTGTGTGTGTGTGTGTGTGTGTATTTTTTTTAACAAACGATATTTTCTACACTAAAGGGAAGAGGGATGAGCCTCATAGTGCGTTAGCAATAATGTGGTTCAAATTCGTTTTTTGCGAGAATCTAACCTAAGATCTCTCACTTACAAGTGAAGAGGAATACCACTAGACCGTAGTACTAAGTGGCTAAATTTAAGTTCTATTTGAATGTTTGTAATTAGGTGGGTTTTTGTTTAATTCATTTAGTACTACGGTCTAGGGATGGGCAAACGGGTACATGACCCCGGGTCGGGACAGGTTCATTTTTTTTTTTTTTTAGAATAAACAGGGCGAGGCAGGTCGGTGATATATACAGGGCTGGGTGGATCCAAATCTTCAAACCCACAGGGCCCTGGACCGGCCCGTTTCTATAATGCAAGGGTTACTGTTGGTGAAAAAAAAAAACCACTTATCTGAATGAATGGATGGGCCCATTCCTATAATAATAATACAAAGAAATTGGGCCCATTTCTATAATAATGATATAAAATGAAATTGAACGAAGGAAATTGCCAATGCAATTTCCTCTCAGCCTTCTTTCTCTCTGATTTCGAAACCTTCCCAAGCTTCCAGAGGCTTCTTCCTTCTTCAACTCCAAACCGAAACCCACCAAGTTCATATGTCTCTCATTTCTCTCTCACTCTCTGCAAGTCTAGAAACCATTCTAACATCACCAAACTTCTTCAAATCCCTCCATTTCTGACCGCAACCTGCTCTCAGTCCCTCCCTTGATTTTATCGAAATCTCACTTAGATGGATGAAAATGGCGCATGACTCCAAATCAGATAAGACAGTGGGCTCTAGATCGACGAAGTGGCGACAATTATGGCACGAGGGACGTGCTTTTCGTCATTAGACTTGGAAAAGATGGTGTTCAAGGCTTCATCGTCCGTGGCCGACAGTTTTGTCGTTAGGCATCTAGGTTTCGCGACATTGGAGGAAGACAACTTAAATGATGTCATTCCCTTCTGTTGGACCTGTGGACCTAGCCCAAACTGGCCCGTTTCAAATTGACCGGGTTATGTCCAATTCCAACTTTAAAAGTTTCAATAATTGGCCCACCCCGCCCCATTCCATTTTAAAGCGGGTCCGGTCCCTTCAAATTTGGGCCCGGCCCGGCCTGTGTCCACCCTTACTACGGTCTAGTGGTATTCCTCTTTATTTATAAGTGAGAGTTTTTATGTTCGATTCTCGCCAAAGGTGAATTTGGACCACATTATTTCTAACCCATTGTAAGGCTAAACCCACCTCTACCCTTTAGTGATATCGTTTGTAAAAAACAAAAAAACAAAAAAAAAGGTAGATTTTTGTTTGAAGAATAGGAATTTCACAGGTCTATCTCTAAATAACCCTTGAATAAACTAATCAGCGCAAGTGGCTCTCTACCAAACCCATAACCCTTATTTTTGGATTTGCATCCCATCCGTATCCAAATTGTGGGGATCCTCATATCTTAGCCATTCACCGTGCATTGTGCGGTCATAAATCATTTGACTTTTTTATTTATAATTAAACACAAATAGTACCTAAAGAAAATTATCGACACGATATACGATGAACAGTTAGAATGTGGAGATCCTTAAGATCCCCAAAAAATGAATCTATAGAGGATCCTCTTCCCTTATTTTTAAAATTGTTTGTTGGTTCTTTGCAAATTTAGAAAATTCATTTTCTGAAGTTTTTTCAATCAATGTCGTGAACTTTCATCCAGTTCTCTGCTTATAGAAGAAAGCCTTCAGGTTTGGATCCTTTTGTTTTTACGGGTTCGGTCAAAATGATATCATATTGCCATATCCTTTTCGTGGTTCCTTAAAATTTGGTTTAAAGTTGCAACCAATGCATTATATCACATGATGAGTGCATTCATAATTCTAAATTTTTCATAATTCTCAAATTCGTATTGTGAGTTTTGGGTACTTAAATACAACGTTTATGTTTCCTGTCTTCCGTGACTTGAAATTGGTGATCTATGTTTACTTTATTATTATTATTATTATTATTATTATTATTATTATTATTATTATTATTATACAAACGAAAGTGAAAATGAGAAATTGAACGTAAAATCTCAAATGTATAAATAAATGTTCATAATTACTTGAGTTATTAGTCTTTTTAATATTTTTTTTATTATACATTGTTGGTGTATCTAAATCAACCCAACTTTTCCCTTTTTTTTGGTGTTATAGCTCTAGTTTGTGCATGATCTTGTGGCTAATTTCCTATATTTTTGTTTTTAATCCCAACAAGGTTTTTATCGAAACTCATTATGCACACTATCCTCAGTTTGTACGAATTTTGATTTGCTTAATGAATATCGTACCTTTGTTTCAAATCTTCACCCTAAGATAGGCTAAATTCTTTTAAATTTGTTTTTCCGTATATTCTCATATTTTTATAGCATCTTAACGTAATCGTACATTTTTATCCTTCACGGTCAGCCCGAAACCACAGAGCTGATGTCCTAACTTTTCTTGAAGGTCAGCTGACCTACACAAAAGGGTCGTCTTCTCCATTTTTTCTTTTGGGAAAAGATGCATAAATTATTAAAATTGGAATATATATATAAAATTAGAAAAATGGGACAATTTGTGAATACTTAAAAACTAATTAACTGAAGTGTTTAGGAAGGGGGAAACTTTTCTTTATTTTGTGCATTTTATTGCACTAAAGCAAAGAATAAAAGATCCCTTGATTATTAAATAATATTAAGTTTATAAAGCGGTTTGCAATTGATGAGAGCAGTATTTAGCTAATTAATTTCTTGCAAACAGAGTTTCATGATTGCCAAATCATCTTTGGCAGTTAAAAACTGGCTCTGTATATCTTCTAGCAGTCTAGCTTTGAGGGAATAATAACTCAGAAAACTTTATTATGTTCCGGTATATGACATGCACCAAAGAAATGAAATATTGGAACCCAGACTAGGATTGTTCAATGGCCACGTATTATTCATACAACGGTGCATGCTAAAAAATCTCTTGAAAATATCTCCATCAAACATTCATTATCTTTCCGAAGGGAAGGGCAGCAGAAAATGAAGATTATTGCTATAGTGATCTTCTTAGCAAAGCATATGAGGCTCTGAATAATATGATGAATATATAACAAAGTGCTTCACATAGATTGTGTCATTAATTCTCAAACCTAACAGACAATAAATTCTTGCACACGTTTATAAAATTGTGTAAATAACATCTCTAGCAGTAACCTATCTTCCGACTACCACATCAGAAAGTTCCCATGAGAGCAAAATTGTGTACATGCACTTGTCGAATGCAATAATGCATCCTAACCAGTAACCAACTAAAAAACCCTCAATTTTTTTCTAAAGAGGAGAAGAGCAAATTCTCAATCCTAAATTATATCTAAATTAAAGAGAGAATAAAGTAAGAGAATAATGAACAAAAGCATCTTCGTGTGCAAGGTGACCTTCCCTTGAGCTTTCTTTCTGCAGACTGCTTTTGCTTTTCTTTTAAGCTCACCACACTCCTTTAAACTCTCTCTTTAATCATCTTTATCTGTTTTGCTTTGCTTACATTAGCTTTGCGGCAGAAAGAAGAGAACTGCCCAAATAGTCCAACTGATGCACTTCAAGCAAAATTACAAGATTGCCCTGGTCATGCATGCTGGATTGTTCAAAACAACCAAGGTAGGGTGAAGGGTAATTTGGGCTGTTCATCAAGAAGTTTGACAATTTAAATAAAAAAAGCGGAGAATATAGGAAAGTGAAAGTTGCACTAAAATCACAATGTTTTGAAACTTTGGAGTCCAAAAGACCATCTTTGTCCTCACAAGTGGGGCATCTTTTTATCTCTTTCCGGAAATATAGAACAACTAATTAATCAACTCTATTTGTTTTCTTTACAGTTTTTTAGCAGCGGCATTATTTGGTCCAATACAAAATTTAAGCATACAAACGGTAAAGAGGATCGCTATTTAGACTCTTTCAAAAGCAAGTATAAACGAGAGTTATTAACCCATATAGTATTTGCCTAAATATTTAAGTTGCAGCTTGGGCTCATTATAGCACAATATGATAATAAAGAAGAAACATTACGATCGGATGTTAGTATGTCTTGCTTGAACTTGCTTTTAAGAGGTTTGGAATGGTGGTTTAGATAGTAAATACCTTCACTATCACACTTCCTCCATGCCATTGTCATTTTCAATCAATACTTTGATTATTCTTTATACAATCAAAGCTAACAGAATTCCTTTTTGGTTTACATGACAGGAATAAAAAAGGCAATTCCAAACTGGTAGTGGAGGTGGCAGATGCCCTAAAAGTTTGAAGACAAGAAAATGCAGGATTCTGACTTGCTTGTAGAAGATGACTCTTAATACCACAGAAGCAGTATCCAAGAGTACTGTACCTTAAGCATCTGTAAAGCCGGGAACAGCTCAAATTCGCAGTCGTGAATTTACTCTAAGACGAGAATCATTGGCTAGAACATACAAATCTAACAGAGAAGGTGAGGATTATCAAAAGAGAAACCCTTGGGATTCAAGGTTTTCTTGTGTGCTAAGGTGAGAGGAACCTGAAATCTATATCTGAAATAGAGCTAATTTTCTGCAGATATTTTTTACAATTATTACTGATGTGTAACTGTATATGTGTTTTTCAGGTACTAGAGAAGCATACAAAGTTGCACCAATGAAGTCACAAGCAGCACCTAACCAAGAGGACTACAAGTTGAAGGACACGAAGCCCCAGCTCGGGGAACGATGGCCACATGGAGGACTTCGAGGTGGAGGAGGGTGGATAAGCAGCGATAGAGCTACAAGCACTTACGATCTTGTTGAGCAGATGTTTTATCTATATGTAAGAGTTGCGAAAGCCAAAGATCTTCCGACAAACCCCGCGACGGGAAGCTGTGATCCATATGTACAAGTGAAGCTGGGAAATTACAAGGGCAAAACAAAGCACTTTGAGAAGAAGACAAACCCTGAATGGAAGGAAGTTTTTGCATTTGCAAAAGAGAAGATTCAGTCTTCGGTACTCGAAGTTTATGTCAAGGATAAAGGGGTGGTGGCAAGAGATGACTACATTGGGAAGGTGGTGTTTGACATGCATGAGGTGCCGACTAGAGTTCCACCAGATAGCCCTTTGGCACCTCAATGGTACAGATTAGAAGACCGGCGACGAGATACTAAGGTTAGAGGAGAGGTGATGCTTGCAGTTTGGATGGGTACACAGGCTGATGAAGCTTTCCCAGAAGCCTGGCACTCAGACGCTGCTTCAGTTCACGGAGAGGGAGTTTTCAGCATTCGCTCCAAGGTTTATGTCTCGCCGAAGCTGTGGTACCTCAGAGTTAATGTAATCGAAGCTCAGGATGTGGAGCCACATGATAGAAGCCAACCACCACAAGCTTTCGTCAAGGCTCATGTCGGAAATCAAACACTTAAAACAAAGGTATCTCCAACCAGGACGGCGAATCCCATGTGGAACGAAGACTTGGTCTTCGTAGCAGCTGAGCCTTTTGAAGAACAGCTTGTGCTTACAGTTGAAAATAAAGTGAGTGCTGCAAAAGATGAACACGTGGGAAAAATACACCTGCCGCTGACAATCTTTGAGAGGCGGTTGGATCACAGGCCAGTACATTCACGTTGGTTCAACCTTGAAAAATTTGGTTTTGGTGCTTTGGAGGGAGACAAAAGGCACGACCACAAGTTTTCGACCAGAGTCCATCTCAGAGTCTGTCTTGAGGGTGCTTATCATGTACTAGATGAATCAACCTTGTACATAAGCGACGTGAGGCCTACTGCCAGGCAGCTATGGAAGCATCCAATTGGGATTCTTGAAGTAGGGATCTTAAGCGCGCAAGGACTTCTTCCAATGAAGAACAAGGATGACAAAGCAACAACAGATGCCTACTGCGTAGCCAAGTACGGGCAGAAATGGGTGAGGACCAGAACAATCATCGAAAGCGACAGTCCCAAGTGGAATGAACAATATACATGGGAGGTCTACGACCCTTGCACGGTGATCACACTGGGAGTTTTCGACAACTGCCACCTCGGTGGAAATGAGAAACCAATTTCTGGCAGTGGAGCTAAAAATGACTCGAGAATTGGCAAGGTGAGAATTCGGCTATCAACCCTAGAAATGGATCGGATTTATACAAACTCTTATCCGCTTCTAGTCCTACAACCATCCGGATTGAAAAAAATGGGGGAGCTCCAATTAGCAGTAAGATTTACGTGCCTTTCACTAGCTAATATAATTTACCTCTACGGCCACCCCTTGCTGCCAAAAATGCATTATCTGCATCCGTTCACTGTAAATCAGTTGGATAGTTTGAGATATCAGGCAATGAACATTGTAGCCGTGAGACTTGGCAGAGCTGAACCACCACTAAGGAAAGAGGTTGTCGAGTACATGCTAGATGTAGACTCCCACATGTGGAGCATGAGAAGAAGTAAGGCTAACTTTTTTAGAATTGTCTCTCTATTCTCCGGCCTCATCTCCATGAGCAGGTGGCTTGGTGAAGTTCGTCATTGGAAAAACCCGATCACTACTGTTTTAGTCCATTTCCTGTTTTTCCTACTGATCTGCTACCCTGAATTGATTCTGTCAACTATCTTTCTCTACATGTTTCTCATCGGATTATGGAACTTTCGCTTCCGTCCAAGGCATCCGCCTCACATGGACACTAAACTTTCATGGGCAGAGGCAGTTCACCCGGATGAAATGGATGAAGAGTTTGACACCTTCCCTACGTCTAAGGCTCAAGATGTCGTGAGGATGAGGTATGACAGACTACGAAGTGTGGCGGGAAGAATTCAGACAGTGGTTGGAGACATTGCAACTCAGGGGGAGAGATTTCAGGCGGTCCTTAGCTGGAGAGACCCAAGAGCAAGCAGCCTGTTTGTATTTTTGTGTCTAATTGCCGCTGTGGTGCTCTACGTGACACCATTCAAGATGATTGCTCTGGCTGCCGGCATTGTTTGGCTAAGGCATCCTAGATTCCGAAGCAAGCTACCTTCGATTCCAAGCAATTTCTTCAGAAGATTGCCATCTCGCGCGGATAGCATGCTCTGAAATCACGAGGAGGTAGAGGAGGAAATACTATCTAACTAACATGGATCTTCTAGTATTTGCAAATTGATGGTTGTTCTGTTGAAAATGAAGTTTCTTGGAAGCAAGGCAATAAATTTTTATCCTGCACTGTTGTATTGCGGGTTTATGAATAATATGAACACGCAAATAGCGTAGTAAATTTGGTTGTGTTTGAGAACTTATGTACATTTATTCGGTTGAATCCCATCTCAATCTATCCTCGAGTCAAAGAATTGATGAGAAACAGGTGAGGAATTGATCCTTAAATTGTTAGCTTTTAGAGAGGAGGGAAATTGGTAAGAATCGGACGCTGCATTATGGTACATAGACATGATTGTTTTCCGCTACTGCAGTAAAGTACTATCTGCCTAGTGCACCTCTTAAAATACACATGTTATTGTTCATATTTTTTTAACCATTAGATCAATGTGAAAGGTGGTTATTAAAATTTAAAGCTAAGCTCAACCCGGTCAAAAAGACCCAGTCGGATAAATTGTGACCCATCTAACTCTCTCTGTTCTACGTAATACCGTTCAAGATGATTGCTGTGATTGCAGGCATTATTTGGCTGAGGCATCTTAGATTCCGAACCAAGGAACCCTTGGTACCAACCAATTTCTTCAGAAGACTGTCATCTTGTGCGGATAGCATGCTCTGAAAATCATACACTTCTTCAGACTTCCAGGTGGTCCCAGGACCACCCGGGTCCATAATTGGATCTGCCTCTGGTTATTCCTCATATTGCTAATTAGTTTTACAATGGAACCTCAACTTTCAACATTTTCTTATATTTGTCTTTTAATGTTTGTTCTGTTAAAGAGAAGTTTATTGGAAACAAGGCAACAAAATTTCATGTTGAACTGCTGTGTTGAGGATTTATGCATATTATGAACACGCAAACGTTCGGTTGTGTTTGAGAATTTGCGTACATAATGTGACGGTATATAAGCTAAGGGGTGAGGGAATTAATTATCATCTACGATATTTGAACTTAAGATCTATTTCAAAAGGAATAGAGCTACACCGTAGTACAGTATCGTCATTTCCAAGTCTGATAACATCAAACAGGATTCAATGCCTTAAAATGACATTTCAACATCTTTTCATGGCACAAAATGGGCAAAAATTTGTCAAAAGACTCAAAACTAGTAAGGGTGGAAGGACTAAAATTGGGAAGATGCCTATTTACAAGGTTGCTAGTAAGGGTTTTTTCACCACAAGTGACACATTGACATCTTAACTCCGCCGTAAGACATAAATTGACATTGAAACTTTAAAGCGATATCATCCATAACTTAACTAATCATTTCATTTTTTCCTGCAAAAACGTTTGAGGTGATTCTCACGTCACCCTTTCTAAAGATATTATATTGACATAAGTTCATTTGCAATTACGTTGTCCTTTTGGGTAAGCTTCAATGCCACTCAAATTTTGGAAGCACCCCTAAATTTTTAATATGAAGTATCGGTCTTCTTTAACACGAAATGGCTATTGAGGCCAACAAAGTATGCGATAGCAACATCAAACTGATAATTATGTAACGTTTTAGTAGTCAACAACCAAAATATTAGACTTTCAGCTAAATATTAGAAACCATGAATTTTATTTATCCAAATCTTATAATTTTTTGGAAAAGCTTCGTTTATGCTTGAGAGTGTAAATAATTTTTTGATTCGCCTGCAGTACTTTAATAGTAACAAACCGAAATGTCAAGTGTTGTAAAAAGTTTTTTCTTATAAGAATCAAGATTTTTAGATGCTCACGAGCGTAATAATATTTTACACTAACTTCAGTTAAAAACAGAAATAAAAGGCAACAGCAAACGGCCATTAAAAATTTTGGGCCAACAAATTCAAAAATCCCCACCTGCATATAACTAAACCGGCTTTGCTTTTGAATTGAAGTTAACGGCTATATACTAATACGCGGAGTCTCAAGTCCAAACCCGCCCTTTACTTCCTTGATTATCTACCTCTCATTCACTCTCCGATGTCAAATCTCCTCTCTCTCCCTCTCTCTCTCTCTCTCTCTCTCACATCAAATTTCAAGTTTCAAGCGATCGATCAATGGCGTTTCAGCGTTCCTCGTTCTCATTCCGAACATCGGACTTCTGGGTCTCTGTGAAGCTGCAGGGATTCCACGCCCCGCCGGACCCTAAGTCCCAATTCGTCGGCGAGCTTTCTCTCCGTCAGGACCAGATTCATCAAAAGCGCTTCCATACCCATGTTCTCGATGAATTCCCACTCGGTCCCGACCGGTACGCCACGCTTCGTTTTGCTGCCCGCCAACTCGTACACTCAGAATTGCACGCCCACTTACGCTCTCTCTCCTCTTCCCTCAGCCTCGATCCTTCCATCTACGAGGCGTTAGCACCCTATATCAAATCTATGGCCTTGAAACTTGCAAATCGTAATGGCTCGCTGGGATTCATCATGGTGGCTCAACTCGAAATCCTGTCTATTGATTATGTCGACGCCCTGTTCGATGATTTGTCTGACTCAATGGGTTTACTTGCAATTGGTAGTAGCAATGGAGGTTCGACCTCATCATCGTTCTCGTTAGATTTTGTGGTTGAGAAATTGGGGGCGGAGAGAATTTTGGAAAGGGGTGATGGCGACTTGGGTACTTGCAGTACATGTTTGGAGGAACTGTCGGACGGGAAAGGGAGTGAGCTCATTCGGATGCCGTGCTCTCACGTCTATCACCCATCTTGCATCCTTCGCTGGTTCAACATGGAGAAGAAGACGTGCCCCAACTGCCGATGTCAATTCCATGCCCAGTGAGTGACCCAGTTTTGCTGCCGCTTTGTCAAATCCAAGTTTGTGGTTATTAGTAGTGTAGTTACTCATCAATTCTTTAGTACTCATTGATTCCTTTTTGATAAGTTTCTTTATGTGTTCTCAACTTTGTAAATCCTTTGTACAACAAAAAATCGTAGAAATTTAAATAGATTTTCCGTCTGTGCTTACAATTTACATAGAGACCGGTTTTCATTTACTATTTATTTGTTACGATAGGTGTCTGTTTGTTTTAGCTTTATCTCTTCTCGTGTTTTCCTTGTGGAATTCTAGTCCGTCCTATTATACAATTTTTTTTTCTTGAGTAAAGATTTCATTTTTCCTTTGTTTTCAGAAAGAAGGGGAAACAGGTTTTTTGTTTTTCGTATAAAAACTGAAGAAGTAGAAACTGTGCACTTATAAAAAGGAGGAGGAATGCAATATACATGATTTAATCTTGATCGTTTGTCATGATATATTATTATATTGATATGTTTATGTATGAATACTCTTTTCGATTAAATATGTTAAACATTTTTGCCAACTTCTGATGGACTCCCAATGTGTTTTTAGGAGTACCATTTTAGTTGATTAATCTTATTCTCTAGTCGTATATGAATGTATTATTGCAATAGATCTTCACCCACTTTGAACACTGAGCTGGAACTAGCATTGCTAAATCAATTTCAATTGGTCTGACCAGCAAAAATTTGTACTCAGAGATCTTCCGGTAGAAAGAAAGCATGATACTATGGCTGGTTCTGGTTTTGAAAAAGCGGAGGACTGAAAGAAGACTTAATAAAGGTAAGGAAATTGTTACCTGATTTGTGGTCAAAGCAGCTTCTTGTAATTATTATTTTTTGTTTCATTTGTAGTTCTCTCCTGGAAATTTGATTCATAAAGAATAATTTTGTAAAGGTTCATTTCTTCCTGAAGCATAGAGAAGAACATCCTTCAGATGTTGGGTTTCGACTTACCTCATGGATCTTAGGTCTTTGTGTTCTAGCTGTGTTGTCATTATCATGACAGCAAAGATGGTCTTCCTTGTACAAGAACCCTCATTGATACTCGAACTTCTTCCGGTGAGGAAATTTCTAGTCTGCAGCGTTGGTTAGATGTCACTTCTTAAATGCCTTCAACCACACACGAATGTTGAACATATTTTGTATTCGGAAGATATCAACGCCATATGATTCCCCATCCAATATGGTGTTTTCCATGTTTTTTCGTATGTTTGTGGTGCTTTGATGCTATTACCAATTCACAAGTTCTCTTTGGCAGATTCTCAAAGAATTTCCTTTGCTGCTAAGCTATCGCCTATCAGTATTAGCTCTCCCCCAAGAGAAACCAACTTCTGCCAGCAGAACTAAAAATGACTCGAGAATTGGCAAGGTAAGAATCCGCTTATCAACCCTGGAAATGGATCGCTTTTGTTTCTTAAATGCAGATATGTGTAAAATACATTCAATAAAAAATCTGACCATCGTACAGTAATAGTACTAAGTGGTAATACTAAAACCAGCCCCCGAAAAGTGAACTACTAACCAAATTTCCTAAGTTAAGTAGGGGCCATCACATTTGTCTGACTTTTTAAAGGTTTCCGAGTGTTTGGGGGCATGATGCAGAGTAAGGCGAGTGTTTTTAAGCTATATTAAAATAAGATCTCTTATTTACAAGTGAAGAGAAATATCATTAGACTGTAATACAAAGTGGTAGGTAGTTATTATTAATTATATTGTTATCATCATGAGGATTGAACCCCTTTTATCCTTCATTTTGTGAAAATAAAAGTTAATTTATGTTGTTAGGGCCTTCCTCTTAAACCCCGCCTCTCAAGTCCGAAACCTGCAAAAGAGATGACACCATATCAATTGACCAACATCAATGTGTACAACATTGCGAGATCCAGACCTGAAATGGTATAATCATACCCAATTAGTGTGTTTGCCAAAGAGCCTGTGATGCCTACGTCAGAAAGTGTGAAGAGAAAAACTAAAAAGTCAGGAAGAGAGTTTCTAAATAATAGAATTCGTGATTATCAATTTCCTTATTTGACTTGGCTATTTATAGTGAAATTTTTTCCGTAAGTCGTCTGCTAGCAGGAGAAGGCAGGCCGACGAGCGTAGCAGTCTTCCTACTGGTGGAGAAATATTCCTTTTCAACAGATGCCTGGCAGAGAGCATCAAGAAGTCGTTCATTTGGTCTTGGACTCGGTAATGCAAGAGCTAATCGCTTATAAATTGGAGTCGGGAAGGAAAGTACTTGACCTTGTTTGATACTCGGTAAAGCATTCCTAAGTTGTATACGTTCTTGTCCGATTTCAGACTTTCATAGTTATCGTCCGTCGATTCTTTATTTGTTATGATCAATTCCGGTATCTGAAACTCTGTATATAGTTACTTTGCGATCATAATTTATTCACGATTGAAGTGGATTAAATTTGTTTTTGCGAAATAATACCTGTTTGTGTGCAAAGAAATCGAAGAAATTTTCCGATTTCAAATGATCCAGTGACAAATCAAAATGACCCAAACAATATCTTTGATATGCCGGTAACATGAAAATACAGAGTACGCGGATAATCTGAAAGAAACAAGTCGAAGAGCACAAAATGATCCTAAAAAGTAGTATATGAAATAATGGCCTAAAAGACAAGCTCATGAGGCTTCATGCCTGCCTTCAGAGAGAACCTCGCCGCTAAGTATGTCTTCAAGTCTGGGACAGCCTCAATGGACTTTATCAATGATGCATCCACACTCTTCTGTTCATCTTTCCTTCCTTGTGGGAGCATACTCTTTTCCTACAATTTGTTGTTTGGAAAAATATTAAGAGAACATAAAATTTTGCAACGGAATCAGGCACGGTGAACATTATTCTCCAACAGTTTACAAGTCGACAATCTGTATAATCTTATCCTTTCATCTCAGGGTATTCCGTTGCATGATAGAAATAATATGCAATATTAGAAGACCACGACTGCACTGCCACATTGAACTACTTTAAAGTCCATGAAGACAATAGCAATAATTGAAGAGAAGCATGAATTTGTTATGTAAATGAAGAAACAATAAATCCTACCTCCTTCTCGGCCTCAAAAAACTCTCCCTCGCCCTTCTTCTTCTTCTTTTCAACTTCCCTTGCAAAATATTTGTCATCAAACTTTTCTACATTCACCCCAGAAATGTCAACCTTGGTGGAAGTGCCAATCACATACGACTGATTAACGCGTCTCAAAGGAACACCATTAATTTTAAAGGGCCCTGCGATGGAATAAAATCAACACTCATGTTAGAAAGAAACTTAACAAGTTTCGTGAAGAAGCATGCAAAAACTGGAAATACACATTCAATCGTGTGGAATCACGATTGAATGATGCAAGGTGCAGAGATCACATTCTCGAGAAATACACATCTACATTAATCAGAGAAAGTAACCATGTAAATTAGGTATCAGATGACACTACGCAAATTGATACTCTTTCCCCCAATTCTCTCTTTCATGCATCAATCATCGTCCAAAAACAATTTTGCTGTGTGATACAGCTTCAGAAGAACAAATCTAACACCACATCACTCACAGTACAAACTACCCTATTTGAACATACCCCACTACAAAATATCCTGTTCAATGGGAGAGGAGCATTCTCCCAAGTGCATAAGCAGGGGGCGGTTTTGCAATATTTTACAACGAAGGCAACCATCTTTTCTGCACCAAATTTGGCCGAAATAGTATGGAGGTTATTACACATTTAGAAACCTCTATTGACTGGCATTCAAGGATTCAAATGTATCAAATGGTCCGAGTGAGTTTATCAAACTTGTTATTCAGAAAATGAAAAAAAAAAAGATATTACTTCTAACATAAAACAAAAAATAACAGTAAGAATACAACCATTCAGCTAAAACCGAAAAGAACTCGAAACATAAACACAACAGGAAGTGTTTGCATGTAAAACGGAAGTAAATCTCACCAGTAACAAGAAGCAACCCAGATGGAAGCTGCTTAAGAAAAACAACTCTCTTGCCCTTAAACCTCCCAGCCAATATAATCAACACCGTCCCTGGTGTAATACTAGCCCTGCATTCAATCAACCAAGTCACAAAAATAAAAATAAAAATTAAGCAATATATTAAACCCATTTTCTTTTCGTTTTTTAATTTAAAAATAAAAAAAAAATTTGAGAAAATGGAACCTGAGCTTGGTGGGTTTGGGCTTGCGTTTGTTGACGAGTGGCTTCTTGACATCGTCAGCGGGGTAGAACTTCGGGGGCTTCTCGGGTGCGGTCTCGGCCGCCGGCTTCGGGTCATGGCATGGGAAAACGCCGCCGTTTTTGGCCTTGATAGCCCAGAGACCACGCTTGTGGTACATTTTGGACCTCGAGAACTTACCGACCCCACGAACCAGATCTGGGTTTCGGGTCTTTCTAGGGTTTCTTGCTTTTGCCGCCATCGCGACTCTCGCAGTGTTTCTGTGTGAAACCTACGGCTTGCGATTTGAGAGAGAGAGAGGTGCGGGATGAAGTAAAACCCTAACGGCGGTTTAAACATTTAATTAAATTATTTTTTTCATTGGGCTCATCGGGGAAATGCGGGCTCTTTATCAATTTGGCAAGGCCCAAGCGTTGCCAACCTTTTGCCATCTGATTGGGTTCGACCGACTTATAGCATTTCTAAATGAGATGTTAAATTTAATACATAAAATTTGAATTTGACAGTCTATTTGACATTTTGACATCTTTTAAAATTTTTCTCTTCATCCGATATGTCAAATTAAATATTATTTTATTACACTAAAACACAATCCACATATCCACAATCATCAACCCAAAACAACGCTAAACCAATTCGGGCCAAAATCCGGTCTGAACCGGATCTCGATTGCTCTATTAAAGTAGCAGGCGATGACGACAAAGACAAAATCTGGTAAAGTAGCAGACGGTGATGACGAAGACAATCAAAACAACAACAAAAAAGGTGGTGATGATACGGCAAAGGCGAGTCGGCTCGGCAAGTTGAGCGAGTTGTGGGAATTGGGTGGCAAGTCGAACCGGGAGGGAAAAAGAGGAGGTGGTGGCGCGGCAGCGTCAAGGTAGCAGAATAGTGACGTGCGAGCTCGGCGAGCTTGTCGAAGAGGAAACGACGTCGTGGTAGATGACAGCTTGGGGAAAGAGTGAGAGGGTTAGGAGATAAAAATAATAATAAAAATTTTGAAGCTATTGTCAAATTTGACTACAGTACCTTGCTGAAAATCCATGTCATCGCCACGTAAGATTGACATATTGATTGGAGAATATTATTGTGGTTTTTTTTTTACTTATAGCTTATGTGGACATTTTGACATCTTCTCTGGAAATGCTCTTAGCATTTTCAATGAAAATATAAATTGTAAAAGTTAAATTATAATTGATGGACGATGCGGTAATTTCAAGTTTTAGAGCTTTGGGAGTATTTTTGCTCACCATTATTTAGTGTGGTGTATGCTTACTACCTTATTTATCACTGTTAGATGAGTTTGAATTTCAAGATTCGTGTTATGGATATGCACAAATCTTAAAATTTAAAATCATCTAACGATGATAAATAGAATGGTGAACATACACAACACTAAAGGATGGTGAGAAAAAATGCACTCATTTAAAAGAGAGGTCAAAACTGCCACATAGACATTCAATAGTATAAAATGGCAAGAAACTTTCTCCAACTAAGCATTCAGTTTCTTATGTAAAGTTGGGTCATTTGAAGGAAAAGCCTTCTAGCATCAAATTTGACAACTAATGTCAATTGATTTAATTTTTTAATTTTTTTATTGGGGTGATACAATTCATAATAAATGTTGTATGTTTCAAATATTTGATTGTTTGGACCACAAAGAGATGGAAAAAAATTATAGGACATTTTTATTTAACTTATCGAGTGTAGCAAAAAATTGTATATAAACGTGAAATTGCGACAAAAGTCATCAAATATCATTTTGATGTTTTACATTTGACATCTTCTTGGACATGCTTTATGTCAAATTTAGTAATTAAATTGTCAAATATACATTTTTTATTCGTATAGAGCTTTAAAAGAGTGTATTTATTTAAAAATTGTTAAAATAAAATTTTTATTGGCTGAAATGCTAGTGGAACAAGGGAGTTACTATTAAACGAATCAAAAAAATAAAATTGATGTTGCCCTTTTATTGATGTCAAATTTGACTCTTAATCACAAAGGCTTCAAATTCAATCAGCAAATAACATTTCAGTTAGAAACTTTGAAGGATTTTTTATGTCCAATATACACTTAGAATTTGACATCCCCTTTAAAGATACTTTTAAATTCAAATATTAGGACGACCATATGTAATTTTTTTCTCTCTCAAATATTTTTCTTCAGTCATTTAATAGAAGTATTACGTCTTGAAAAGTGCGAGTAAACTGATGGTGGTTCATGCCCACGTTTTGGCATCTGAGAAGACTAACAGACAGACTTGACTATCGCGGATTAAAATGTATACAATTCGAGGGTCTGCCAAATAGAAAACTTCGAAGGAGCAAGGCTAGGACGTTGAACATAACTCTTGTACCTATCAATCGGTTACTTACCATTTCTAACACAATATGTTTTAAAATGTGATATATGTGGAAGACGCATTTGAAGTAATTCTTAGCATTTATGTCATTTTCTAGGGTCATAAGTAGAAGAATTAGGACCATGAGCCCGTCAAATAATTTTGCAAAAATGATAACCAACCGAAAAGAGACGCTTGAATATTTGAATGGATAATGCACTCCAACTGGATTTTATCAATAAATAGATCAAGTCGATAACAAATTCATACAAGAATACATGGCAATATATTAGAATGTACTATTACCTCTAGCAGAATTTGCATCCATAAATTGTTGCTTTTATTGAAAATTCTAAAAAATACTCAACGCGTGCTTTAAAATCTAAGTGAAGAACGCTCATTTCATCCAAAATCTTCCTTCCACCTATTGTTTTTATTTTCTTTTTTTGAGTTTTCTTTGAACAACAAAAGTGGATACGCCAAAAAGGAGGAAGACCAACAACGATCAATCCTCAAAGATCGAACGCAACAGCAGCCATGGCACATTGTTGTGACATAGCAATACTAGGACTTGCGTGACCTAGCTAGAGCTCGACCCACCAGGCAACAACGCACCACAAACCCACCAGGCCGCGATGCACCAAGTATAGGCTTGCGCCAACCCCAGGACCAACGACCTAAGCTTTGGCACAGCACGAATCGCGACCTGCTTACTACATCCACACGCCCAGTGAACGAGTTTGTTTGGGCCCTCTTAGTTCCACCCCCTTCTAATGGATTGTGTCATGTTATGTTATGCCTTATTTAAATGGGTTGTGTCCATTCCGGTGCTTATGTCAGACAATTCTTTTGACACTTAAGGATGGAAAGAATCAATTAGTACCAAACACGTCATTCACGAGATTTAATCTTAAAAACTTTTCACTTATAAGTAAAAAGTAATATCAATAGACCATAGGGCATTCAATGTGTGGTGTTAAGGCTTCCTAGTTGGCATAATTTTGCATTTCGAACTATGCTTCACAACATTCCAACATTTGTGCTTTGTGAATGATTTGTTGTTGTTATGAAGATTGAACCACATTTGTGCTTGTAGTTGTTGAAAAAATAATTGTGAGACAAAATAATTGTAATTGTTGAAAAAAAAAAAAAAAAACCTAAAGGTCCAAATAATAACATGTTAATTACATTTGAAATTTATGAAGATTTTTGTATTTCAACTCTTGCCTTGAATCTTCTCGACAAATTTTGTATGAATCTTCTTCCACATTTGTTGCACCATCTTCTCATTTTCTATGATAGGGTCATGGGTATCATGCAGCCAACCCTTAAGCAAAGCAATGTCTTCCATTGACCAAATTGGCTTTTGACTCTGTTTTTTGGGAAAAAAAAATTGGAAAGTGGAAAATAAATATACAAGATTGGAGTAAAAAAGAAAAAATGTGTAACGTGTCTCAACAGTAACATTGTCAATTTTTTTTTCCATTGGAAATTCAACGGCTAATAGCAAGCCACATCAACGAGCCGTTGGGGCTTTGCTGTTAGTCAATTGCAGCGAGGCCCACCCCTACAGCTGTTGTCGGTCTTTCGTCGTTTTGGCACGTGTTATACATGATAGGGATTTTTACCACCTACAAAAGTAGGGATACAAACACTTAAAAATAATTGCAAGAGAACAAGGTAGTTGTAGTATAAACGGCTCAAGCAAGGTTGTTTCCGCAAGGATTGAATGAATAATATGTATTTATACTAATTCTTTGCTAATTATTTGAAAACAAAGATTGGAAAAATACAAATGAATTTAATAAAAGTAATTTAGGAAAAACAACTAGTAACCAATTAAGAATAAATCAAATAAAAAAGAAAGGGTAAATTACACTTTCATACCTCAGGTTTGGGGTCTATTTCAATTCCTTACAACATCTTCAAAACATTTCAATTTCATACCTTAAATACTATTTTATTTTAAAATAATATATTCGTTACATTTTCCATCCATTGATCTGTTAAGTGCTGACGTGGTTGCCACATTTGTGCTAGGTGGTTGCCAAATATGTGTCACATGGCAAAAAGAATACTTTTTTTTTAACCTGGAAAAAAAAAAAAAAAACTTGAAAACGCAAAAACCCACCCCACCCCTCTTCTCCCTCCCAAGCCTCCCAACCACCTCCCTCTCCTCCACTCTCTTCACTTCCCCTCCCATCCCACCCCACCCTTAGCAAACCTAACTCCATTCAAACCACCACCAACCAAGCACCAAAAAAATTTAAAATTTGAATACGTACCTCGTTGCCTGAGCCGACCGACGAACCAACGAGCCCACTCGGCGATGCGTCGGGGAGCACTAGGTCCGGGTTTTTTGGGGGGGAGAGGGGGAAAGGTTTAGATCTAGGTATGTTTTGCCGGGGGGGGGGGGGGGGAGGGGTGGAGGTTGGATGTTTCTTGGTTTGCTTCTGGCGGGGGTTGGGGAAGGGAAGGTTTCTGGGTTTGTTGGGGGGTATGTGGGTTTGTATGCAGGGGTGGGGGTGGGGGGTGTAGGGATCATTGCTTCACTTTCTTTTCTTTTTGTTTTTTTTTTAAATCAAGTTTTTTTTTTCTCCAGGTTTTTAAAAAAAAAAAAATTATTCTTTTTACCACGTGGCACACATTTGGCAACCACGTGGTATAAATGTGGCAGTCACGTCAACACTTAACGGATCAATGGATGGAAAATGTAATGGATGTATTATTTTGAAATAAAATAGTACTTAAGGTATGAAATTGAAATGTTTTGAAGATGTTGTAAGGAATTGAAATAGACCTCAAACCTGAGATGATAAAGTGTAATTTACCCAAAAGAAAAGGTTTTGAGAAATAAATTTGGAAAAGCACTAGGGTTCTGCCGTCCCTTTAACAATATTATGTAGTTTTACTAATTACTTATGAATTACACATGCAACTTTGAAGGTTAGGTTTTCCTAATGCAT